AAATAAATGAAAAAAGGCATACTACTTAAGTAGCTACTTTTTATAGTACATGCCTTTACTTAGCGGTCAGAAAGAAGCTCGTTAAAAAGCCGGCATCCAGATGTGACCAAAACGTATTGAGATCGTCATTTTAAAACCATATGTAAATAATGCTTGAATCGAAAACGTATTTCAGAATTCCGGGTGACGTTTCATGACTTTGCCCGCAACACTGCTTACCAACGGCCAGATAAATAAGCACACACAGTACCTTGATGATGCCCAGTTTACCAACTGTTCTGTATTTCTTCTTCTGGTAGAAGTAGTATCACGTGCTGCAAATAACTATGAAAACTGAAGTAAGGTTTCCTCACCTGCATTAACGACTGAACAATTTCCAGAGCCGCTTTTGCGACAAACAGATATGCCGTGATGCCTATTTTATTTCTAGTTTCAACAGCCGGTACTAGGAGGAACATGTCATAGAAGAGCATGCCCAGGAGGCCAATCAGAAGGAGGTTGTCGTCAAAGGCATTCGTTTCGGAGAGTTTTCGTAGCGTCAACAGACGGAACCGTAGCAGCGCCAGGAAGACTGTAATCACACCAATCGCCAGCAGAATGATGTTTGAGGCCTGGTACAGCGTCACAGCCGACTGCACCTTGTGGTCATTGTAGAGGATGTAGAAGACGGCCAGGGCAACCAGAGTGGCCATGAAGATCAGGAGACCCACAAAGAGTCCTTTGTGGGCCCTGTGGCATTCATTGTAGACACGGCCGTCAGGGGCACAATGATCCAGCCTCTGCTCGGACACACCATTCGCCTCACCATGTTCGTTATGGCCAATGCGTTGAAACAACTTGTAGAAGATGGCACAAGCAATCAGGCTGTACTCCACGCCACAGGGTATGAGGTAGTGTGCGAGGACGCTGGCTTGGGAATGACATTTTACTAGAAGATAGGAAAAAGAGAGTAAATTACTTCTTGCAGCTTGTTAAATTCCTCGAAAATTGATTTCTAAATTCATTATATTCACGGGTCTACAGTTTTTTTCTGGACGCAGTCCAAAATGCAATAGTAACACTTGAGCCGACTTGCATCAGCCACTGCGGACTAACCATGTAATATTCACCAGCTGCCAACAGGTAGTCAATTGATTTGGTGAGGGTAATAGGCAATGCCTTTGAAAATGCGAATGATTCATGGTGCAGGCGTAAAATTGTCGATACTGTTAAATCAGTATTGATAAACAGTAAGGCTGTTTATTAGCTTGTAAATTATGATAAAATCCCCTCTTTGCTGCCTCTAATACAGAGGTAATACATGTAGCATTCCAGTCCTTCTATGTAAGAGTGTTTTTTTAGACCTCTTATTAGCTTTTTTGCCCGACGCCACACTGTCTTGAGGTAGATTGTGTATTTTGCAAGCCATAGTCGCCAGGCCTGTATGCCATATTCTAGATGTGGTCGAAAGAAGGTCTTATAACCTTGCGTCTGCAGTGGTCACCTGCGTCGCCAATTGCTAAAACCTTGTGTGTTCCTGTGTCAACATTGGGTATATGCCCAAGATGCGTATTAGGAAAAGAATACAGAACATGTTAGCAGATTGTACTTTACTGCCACAGTTCCTGCTGGTACACCAGTTCTCTCTTCTGTGTTTCCGTCAGCGGCGTGTTCTCTGTTATCAGCAGCGTGTATTCTGTCGTCGGTAGCGCACTTTCGTATGGACCAACAGGTCTCGTGTCCCTGCAGCAGTAATCTCGGGTTGTCGGTAG